AGGTCGAGTGGTGAAACAGAGATGGAGGATGTTTAGTGGACAGAGCTGGTTTTCTGAAAGACTGAAGCTGAGATCAAGAGGGCCACAAAGTGTGACAAATAGTTTTTTTATCCGTTGACCCCTTTACTGCAGTCATGTGGAGGTGTGTGTTGTGCTGTATCTGGGATTACCCTGAAGCCAAGTTGTCAGTATGAGGAGAGAGAGGTCAACACGGCGATTTTTGCAAATGTTGAGTCTGAGAGGCATCTTTAAAACAATGTTCTGTGGGAGGGAGGTATAATTGTGCACTTTAACTTGTGGGAGTAACTTCCTTCAAGACTGCGGGGGCGCTGAGTTTATTTTGTATCTAAAACTATTTATCTTATCATCTCTAAACGCAGCACTTGAAAAAGCTCTGCATATTTGCTGAAGTTGATAGATTTGCATGATTCATGTTTTTGAGGTTGTACCCACATACTTGAATGCACTTTAAAAACCATCAGCTAACTGAATGTAATATAATGTGGAGTTTAAATCAAATGGTATTTATATAGCCCAATATCACAGTTTGTACAGATCTGATTGGTTAGCTGGCCGGCTCTGTTGTGATTGGTCAACTGCTTAAAGATGTCCCGACTCTTAGCCTATCATGTTTAATGTGTTGGAGCGCTAGCCAATAGGAGCGCGAGTGTTACCTAGTGATGTTACTATGTTCTAGAAGTAAACAAAGGAGTCCAATGGAGGCGTTTCAGACACTGTACACACTACAGTAGAAGGCCTTTCATGGTACGTCCACACGGCAGCGTCGCGTGCTTCAACAGAGACGCTTCCCATTCACTTTGAATGGGGTGACGTCACGCTTTGCCGAACTGCATTGTGGTTCCGTCGCGTCGCTTCGCCTCCGCTGCTCCCTTCGCCTCTGCTGCTCGCTTCACCTCCGTTGCTCGCTTCGAAAGTTGAGAAAAGTTCTACTTTTCAAGCGTCGACGGAAGCGTCAGCCAATCAAATCATATGCCAGTACAAGCTCATAGCCAATCAAACCGTGTGCTTGTGTGTACGGGGCGGGAGATTAATGTGATTGGTTGTTGGTCGCACGCCAGACACGCCCACCGGCAAGCTTCAACGCGACGCTGCCGTGTGGATGCACCATTAATGCCTGGACCTTCATTCTTCAGTAGCACACAAAAGAACATGATTTCTGGCAGGTTTAGTGCAGTCTTTTTTTGTATTCATGACTTTCTTACTCAAATGAACTTAACGGTAAAGGACATTACCCGTGTGACACAATCAGTAAAAACTTTACTTTTTCTGTGTGAATGTTTCCTTTGCACACAATAAAGCCCCGGACACACCAAGCCGATTTTGGCCGTCGATGGATGTCAGGCCGACGATGAGCGTCCTGTCGCCCTACTCAGATTGGTGTGTCCCGCACCGTCGTGTCTTTTCGGCCGTGCCGACACCTTTTTGGCCGAAAACCTATCGATTCAACATGTCGAATCGGTAGGCAATCGGCCAAAAGGCTGTCGGTCAAATAAATCACTCTGATTGGCTGTTCAGCTTAGCGAATCAGTGCATGAGAAGCGAAACGGAAGTGAGGGACCCAAACAAACTATTAAGAAGGCAAATCTGAGATTTCATTTAACTCCAGCTCTCGACACAGGTTCGGGAAAGCCCCATGAGCTTCTCGCTGTAGAGTGAAAATGGAACGCACACGCTATTTGTTGTTTGTTTATATCACGCAGTCTGTTCTTCTTCTCTCGGTGTATCACACAGTCTGTCTTCCGGTAGTTGCCTCTTTTGAATGACGAATACACACTACCGCCGCCTGCTGGTAAGGAGAGTTATTGCCACTCACGCATGCGCAGTTCGTACGTGCTACTTGGCCGTCGGCTGAAGTCTTTGCGGTGTGTTCCAGTGCGACACATGGCCAAGATGCAGGAGACGCGAGGCGACACAACAGTCGGTTCCGTCTGTGTGAGTTCTTTGGTGTCAGCTTGGTGTGTCCCTACCTTAAGGCTTTTTGCTGTGAGGCTGATTGCATGATTGCATTTGGTTGAATGTGGAGCTCTGTGGGGCAAATTGAACCCTATGGACTGATCTAAAGAGCCTTTACATGATTGTGCTTTTATTATAAAATACTAACTAGAAACATTTCAATCTAGTTCCCTTAAATAGAACCAGATTGGGATGTCTTTGACGCATGTTGTTGTATTTTTCTGGCAGCCCCACACTACCCTTTGTATCCATAGTTATGTAATTTGTATTTGTTTTGTAACAGTATAATAAACTATTTAACATTCCAAATTACCACGGTTTTCAAACACAGCTGAACATTTGATTGGAATTAAGCCATTGCCTAATTGAACGATGAATTATACACAAAGTACTTGTAGTTTTACATAATTTAGCCCAAGCTTTTTTATATGAATTATGAAACAGCTTGTCCTTGGTTGCCTTTTCTTTTCAGCAACTTCACAAAGGCAATCCAGGTCTGAGCTGAAACTCAGACTCATTTGAAAAACATTGTAGGATGTTGTTTTGATTATACAAATGATTAAATCAATAGCAGGGCTAACAACTATTGGTTATATCATTAGTAAAGATTAGAGGAAAACCTTTGAACCACGCCTGTCTGTCGTACTGCTGTACTGTAGTATGTTTCTTGCTGAAGAAAGGTAAAACTTACAGGATGAAATGTAACCATATGAACATTTGATTGTCTAATTGTTTACTCCTTTCTCTCAGACGCCTCAATGCCCCAGATCGACCTGTTGCAAGTATTCTGTCTCCTATACTGTGTGTACAACAATGTAATCTTTAACTTCAATCACCAGTGTTTCATTGTGTTATATTCTAATATCAAGTCCTGTGTTTAGGTAGACCAACTCATTCTGACATCCAAATATGTAAAGGCTATGTTAGTCAATAGCTCAAAATGTAGTGGTGTAACAATGACGCCTCTGAAATTAAGATATGGCTTACAGTAGTTGTTCTCCTTATTCAGGCTAGCATGACATGATTGTCAACTTTCTCTCAGTGTAAGCAAAAAAAGATGTCCGCACTCCTTTTATTCCCATAAGGAAATCAGATATTTTAGAATTGTTTTTCCATTAAAATGTGTTTCGATCACTATTGTAGGAAGAAATGGTAACTATGGACAAGGGAGTGTAATTTGCATTCTGCCCATTTTAAATGAATCGAGGGAAAAACGTAGTTATCTCACAATTTCCGAGGCGTTATTGCAAAACTACAACGTTTAGCACTGCAGACCAGCTGTTAAACATCTGGATGTGAAACTGGGTAGATTAAACGGATGCATGAAAAAGTAAATCCTAGAAATCCCGCTCTTAAAAATAGTCACGTTAATAATAAAGCTTTATTTATATAGCACTTTTCATACATCACGTGCAGCTCAAAGTGCTTTAAAAAAATGGCACAACTCAGAAGTAAAAAATAACAAGAAATTCCCCTCAGATCAGATATTAAAGGTCACCTATTGTGCAAAATCCACTTCTCCATGTCTCTTCTACATCAACATGTGTCCCCTCTTCTTCATGTCTCTTCTACATCAACATGTGTCCCCTCTTCTTCATGTCTCTTCTACATCAACATGTGTCCCCTCTTCTTCATGTCTCTTCTACATCAACATGTGTCCCCTCTTCTTCATGTCTCTTCTACATCAACATGTGTCCCCTCTTCTTCATGTCTCTTCTACATCAACATGTGTCCCCTCTTCTTCATGTCTCTTCTACATCAACATGTGTCCCCTCTGTGGAAAGAGACTCTGAAAGTTTCAGGAACAAAGATTCTCTCTCTTTTTGTCCTGATCCTTTTATATAAAAACCTGTCTGAAAATGAGCCGATCAGATTTTGGCCACTTTATGATGTCATAACGATTTTTTGGCTTGTGTAACCATTAGCCAATCACCAACCAAGGTAACCCCCCCCCCCTTATCACCTGAATCTCCTCCTAGAGCACCATTGTGTTCTTTGTAACCAAATCTCTCTCAGAGGGGCGTGGGGAGGGGCTCCTTATTTTCATCTAATGCCGCGTTTCCACTACACGGCCTCGCTCGGCCCCGCTCGGTATGGCTGGGCCTCGTTAGGACTGGCTCACTTTATGGCGCATTTCCATTACAGTTTAGGAACTGGGGCAGTATCTATAGTAACGCAGTGTAGGCGGAGCCGTGATGTGATCTTCAGAGGACCCCAGAAAAACAACACAGCCGTTAGCTGTTAGCACTCAGAGCTCACAGCTCCTCATATATGTTCAGAAACTAGACAAAAGTTAAACAAGTACAAACCACAGACTGCCTGTGTCATGGCGAATACAGTCGCTGCTTTATTTATGTCTGTATAGGCCGTTGTTGTGAGTGTGGACGGTCGGAGCATATACTGCGTTAGCTTAGCCAATCTCCATTTAGAAAACAAGCATTTTAAAAGGTTTTTCCCCTGCCGTCTGTCTGCAGACTTGACAAAGCATTAATTCATGGTTTTTACTAACCGGTATCAGTATGTTGTTACTTCGGCATCATTTTGAAACGTGTATTACAATTAAATCACGGTCAAATATGTCCATCTTGTTGTAGTTGTTGCCCCCTTGCCAGCGACGCTCTCTCTAGTTTAGCATACTCAGCCCGACTCAGCCTCGTTGTCTCTGGCCCTGGCCCCACGATTTTATGAGGCCAGAAAAACTGTGAATTAGGACCCGCCGGACGGTACTAGGCCAAGTGGAAACGCAACCAAAGACGGGCCGCTGACGTCACAGCCCTCTTAAACCGGGCTGCGGGCTGTAGTGGAAACGCGCCATAAAGTAACAGACAGAGAATCAGCACTTTTGAAACAGGGCTGAAACAGAGGGGATTATGGGATGCTGCAATGATCTGTTTGGTGTTTGGAGCCAAACACTTCAGAGACATGTTTTGTATATATCTGAGACCTATAATATATTGATAAAAAACAGTATAATAGGGGACCTTTAAAACCTTCACAGATACTCTGTCAGAATGTCCATTACTCACTTGTGGGACTTTTTGACCTCCGTGCCCCCGGGGCCAGAGCCACAGTCGTGGGCCTGGATGATGAAGGTGTACTCCTTCTGCAGCTCGCAGTCCACCAGGCCCCGGGCCCTCAGCTGGCCCTCTCCGGACGTCCCGTTCAGAACCACCGCCTCGAACGGGGCCTCCAGTCCTTGGATATTAAACGCACAGATCTCCCCTAAAGACCAGGAAGAAGGGAGGAGACAGAAGGAGGAGGAGGGAGGAGTTAATCACAGTCACACAGGTTGAATACAGGGGACAATAAATAAATACATTTGCACGTACTACTTTAAAGCAGATGTGTTTCTCTGTAGTTGGCGTAAAGAAGTGGAATTCATTGCCGAATGATTTAAAGGGTTGTGAGAAAATGTTTCTGTTTAAGAAAATGTATAAAGAAAGCGTAATTAGTCAGTAGTTGACTTTTGAGTGTGTTCTGGTTTTATGTTTCAGTATTTGTAAGCAACTGTAACTGAAAGAGTTATTTCTTCTCCCACTTTAGCATACACACAGAACACAGAAACACAATTTGCTTTACGCTGACATGCATTCAATTTGTACCATTATTTTCCCTTTGACATACATCTGTGTTAATTGTATCTAACATAGTTTTAACAAATGTTGGGAGCATTTCATAGTAAGGGTTAGATTAGTTTTAAAGGCATTTGGTTAGTGTTTTCTGACTTGTAAATGTTTCTGTATGATGAATGAACTCTCTGCTTTTCTACATATTGTAAATACTTTCTGTTTTACGTCTGGTTCCCTATTCTCAAGCATCAGAGAGTTAATCGGGTTTTCCCATTTCACACATTCATTGTCTTATGATTGTACTTTTAAACAGTTTGTGAAAAGACTGAATTGCATCAGCTAGAGGTGATTGCTCTTGTGAAGGACTTTTCTTCTGTTTGCCCTCCACGACATGTAGAGATCCTCTGTAGCTCACCCAAAAAACAACAACATACAGAACAATTGAGTTACACGAGGCACAAATAAAACGACGACGTCTCAAAGTCACCCTCGTGTAGACGTACTGAGGACGAAAATCAATTTAAATCCAGAGTGAGCAGATGACAAGAGCAAAACAAAAGAGGCGGCTGACATTTATTAGCAGGGCATATAGAGACGTGGTCCATTTGTGGAGTGGGTTTCTTTTTTTTTGTCTTTCTTGGTGACTTGACGTCCCCTCACGCTTCCTCTGGTGGGATTTCAGGAAATCACTTAGCGCGGCCGGCTCACACTCTGACCTGTGACAGCTAATTGCGCTGATATCACTTAAACTAACAGCAAAGACTAAATTGGATTCCCGAGCAGCTTTGTGTGCTCATTGCTCCTGGCAAGTTCCGATAAGAGCAACTTTATTTTTCCACCACCTTCCCCTTTCTCTCCCTTTCATTCTGCTTCTGTCATAATCCCCTGCCCCCCCCCCCTCACCCTTCCTTCCTGTTGGGGCAGGGACTCTGAAATGAAAATGTGCCCACAGCGAAGCTATTGGCAAAATAATAAAGAAAAAGGAGAACAGGAAGAAAAAAGAAAAGGGAGGGTGTCGACACTGTCTGCATACTCTAAAGACTTCCCCCTCCTGTATTACCTGAACAATGAGTTATCAGGGTTAAATGAACCCCCACAATATGGAGAAGCATGGAGAGAAAAATCATAAAATGGCATTGGGCAAACGGTGTGCGACGGGGAGTGACAGAAGACGCAACAGTCTTGATGCGCTGCTTCTCTCAATGGTGCAACACGGCACACAACGGACAAATGGAAAATCCATCATCGCCGGAGCGAGAAGTCAATCCAATATACACAGGAAAGTGCTGAAGCTCCCCACCAGAGGGAATATGCTGAGGATATGCTGATGGGCCACACCTGGGGGTGGGTTGGCCGACATGATACTCAGGGTTTAAATGTAGCTGATGGGCCACACCTGGGGGTGGGTGGCCGACATGATAGTCAGGGTTTAAATGTAGCTGATGGGCCACAGCTGGGGGTGGGTGGCCGACATGATACTCAGGGTTTAAATGTAGCTGATGGGCCACAGCTGGGGGTGGGTGGCCGACATGCTACTCAGGGTTTAATTGTAGCTGATGGGCCACACCTGAGGGTGGGTGGCCGACATGATAGTCAGGGTTTAAATGTAGCTGATGGGCCACACATGGGGGTTGGTGGCCGACATGATAGTCAGGGTTTAATTGTAGCTGATGGGAGATGGGTCAAGGTGACTGAAAGAGGAGGTCCTTTCTCTTTAAACACCCATATGCACAACACACCTGGCATGGAAAGCAGAGCTGGGCGTACCAAAATCAGGACAAAGGAACTCCTATCCATCAATCTCCCTTCATCCAAAGATGGGTCGAAGAGGTCCCAAACGTCCCTTTTTCTAGCCACATCAACCAGCACTGACTCAGGGATTCGGGGGCCAGCGTGGAGATATAACCCCCCCACCTGGTCCCGGGAATACCTTCGAACATGCCTGAAACAAACTCCCTTGGGAAGCAATCAGACGGCATCCTTACCAAGTGACTGACCCATCTAAACTAGCTCCTTTCTACACAAAGTAGCTCTTCTCCAAGTTGTCCCGGATGACTGAACTTCTCCCCTTATGCCTAACAGAGATGCCAGCCACTCTCCTGACACCTATTTCGACCTTTTGTATCCACAGTCTCTTTGTTTTGGTCATGACCATCCCGTCATGATCATAGGTGGGAGTATGAACGAAGATGGACTGGTAGATTCAGAGCTTTCTATTCTAGCTCAGCTCTGTCTTCATCACAATGGTGCATTAAAGCGACTGCAATACCGTACCGCTACTCCGAAAAACCTCCATTGTCCCCTCACTTGAAAACAAGAACACAAGATACTTGAATTCGTTTACAGTCCAATGGTTTCCGTCTGAGAACCATGGCATCAGACGTGGAGTTGCTTATCCTTTTCCCAGCCTCCTTATACTCGGCTGTGAACCGTGGAAAACAGAAACCTTTAACACAAAATACCTTTACATGAGTCCTGGTCCAGACGAAGCAAAATAGAACAAAACTTCCTAACAAACAAGAATCCAATAATGACTCAAGAAAAGAGCAGGATTTGAATACAGGCTGAACTAATGAGGCGTAGGTGTACAGGAGGTCAGGTGCTCTAAGGGCTGATTGGACCAGATGGAACTAATAAGGATGGGAAAACACACACTGAGAGTAAGTTAAAACAGATATGACACGGATTGAGAACACTTCAAAATAAAACAAGAAACAGAGGAACTAAAAACTGGGGGTCATTACAACACCTGTCGCTTTGTTTCCTTTGTTTTATGTCCGCCTTTTACTCCGTTTCAAACAGGAAAAGCGTTCCCCCCACCTGCTGAGCGACGGCCCGGCGGCAGCAGAGGAACAGATGTTGGGCGGCTGGCACTTGGCAGCGGCACAGAGCTCACAAACGCTAATTACTGCGCTAAACTGTTAGCTAAATATGTGTCTCCGCGTCACATTAGGCTTTTAAGAGGTAGATTTATGGTCAGAAGGAACTCTGTCTTCTTGAAGGGGGGCCACTTGAAAACTAATGGATTCAGACTAATGGCTATGGATGCTGCAGTGCAATTTCTTTATGAGGTTATTTGCTGGGTTATCATCACTGTTTGGCTATTTGGCGTAATGAATTGTTTTTATGATGTACACCATGTAGGAGTTCTGTTTTTTTTGCACACTTACACAGTAAAACTTTTCAGACTAACTTCCTGGACTTCTTAGACACCCACTATTTGTCTCTTTCTTTACACACCCTTATTTTCTATGGGCACCGTTCCACTTTTATTTAACCAAGTCTAACGTTTAAAGACTGTCTATTAGTCAGAAATGTTTGCTCAGGAAATAAGCTTCCGTCCTGTTGGTGTCAGAAGTCGTGCGGCACACCTCGCGGGAATCTGGCACTCGACTATCTGTGAGGACACAGAGCTCATAATCAGTAAAGACAGAGATGCTTTACTGGCAACGCTGGCCTGTAGTGTTTGCAGAGCTGCAAGACTGTGACAGAGTATCGGGGGGCCACAGCGCCTCGGGGGCCCCCAAGTCATAATCAAAGCTGACAGAGCATCGCCTGCATGTAAATAAAACACACATCTACATTTGCTGCAAAGTCGCTCTCGCATATAAGTATAAAGATATGTGCGGCGGCTGCTAAGTGAGAGGTAACAGTGGAGATATCAGGAGGAAAACAGTTGCAGCGCTTAGAGGAAGAGGAGGAAGAGACAGATATGAGGGGAGATGAAAGAAGGAGCAGGGGAGGATGGGAACATGGCCACCGCCTCAGGGCAGCCCCCACCTCCCTACTGAAGAGTGACCAAAGCACAGGCATGAAAACACACACACATTGACTCACACTGTGCCAGTTTGCCAGCCCTAATCAGACATGCCTTTCATCCTCCTACTGTTGGAACACACACCGCAGAGGCAGCAAGTAAATCAGATTACTGAATATCACGCTGTTACTGAACACATTTTGGACCAGGCATCCGTTTTGCTGGCACTAACATGTTTGCACCCACATTATCTTCATATTTTCACTCGCTATTGTTACTAAATCAAACCTATTTGCACACGAGTTGAGGCCGACTGCGCAGTTTACACAGTTGTCATGATTTCAGCTGCTTTTCCAATTTGGATTTGGCTCGAAATTATCTCTTGTATTAGTCACCCGCGTAACCTGCTAATTCTCCCTCTCATTTTTGTCGCAAAAACATAATGGCACGTCCAAATCGACACACACACACACACCCACACACACACACTCAGCTGCAGTGCCGAGATAGACTGTCAGCTTCATAACTCTGCAGAGGGCCGAAATTGAAAATGCCGTAATTATGCTCTTCATGAAATTAGCCAGCCGAGGGAAAAACACATTGAGAAGCCGTCCATTCTGCAGATAAGGATTAATACTAATCAAGCCCCCATGTTCTGACTCTAAACCAGGAGTGCTGTTTGAGTACAGTGTGTGCGTGTGTGTGTGTGTGTGTGTGTGTGTGTGTGTATATGTGTCGGATGGGAGATTGTTAATTAAAGACACACTTTCTCAACAGGGGCTTAGAGGGGAGGGAGTGTGTGAATGATGCGGGGGGGAGGGGGAGGGGGGGTGTGAAGATTTACTCGACCTCGCGGTTGCCACCCCTCGTCTCCTCGTTGTTAATTACATTAAAGG